ACCCCCCACCCCTCACCCCTGGATTTTCTGCTGGTGTCGCCTTCAGAATCCAACTCCTGGCTTCCCTGATAATCACCATTTTCCCTGCTACTCGCTGCAGAGGCTGGAGTGGAGGACTTGCCCGGTCTCAGAAGGTCTCTTGATCTTAGATCCTCACCCTCCACCCATCCCAATCTGGGGACCCCCTCCCCAATACCCTCCATTTGCTCGCAGTTGGGTTTGTGGAAATCCAACGCTGACCCTGGGGCCCAGCCACTCCTCTTCTCCATTTTGGGGTCTTCCATGGGCAAAATCCTCCTTTCCTTCCTTGCCGCCCCCACCTCTGCCGGCGCCTCCATCAAGAGATTTCCCCACAATAACCCCTCTTTGCCTCCCTATTTCAGACCCCAGTGGCTTCAGGGACCCCAGGGGTAGGGGGACGGGGGCATTTCATCAGACTCTCCCCACTCCGCTCTAGATTAATCTTGAGCCTCAGAAGTGAATGTGGTATTTGCTGATCCGAGATGCCATTGAATTCGCGTTTTATTCATTTCTTGCGTGTCCATCCTGGCAAAAGGGGGGCTCGTTGAACATGTAGTTGTTCAGAAGGGGGGTGGGTTTGTTCTCCGACCAAAACCCCAGTTCTCCATGTTAAATTCGTTCGTTTTGGAAAACCGAAGACCGAGGAGAAAGGGAGAGAGGGAGAGGAGAATTCCATCCCTGAGAAATGCGGATACAAAAGACATTTTTAGTAAAGAAGGCTGGGAAACCAGGCGTGGTGTCTGGGGGAGATGTGCGTGGATGGGGGAGCCAACCGAGGAACAAACAGCCCCTGGGAGCCTCAATTCCAGGGAGTCCCCTTGTTTTCCAAGCGGCCTCATCGCCCCCCGGCAGGTCCCGGAGGCCAGAGAGGAGAGACACAGAAACCAGTTCTCTAAATTACACCCGCCTCTCCTCAGTCTCCAGCCCCTGCATCCGGAAAACTTTAATTAAAGCATCTTCCCCTCCTGGACATAGGACAGCCTGGGCCTGGGGGTGGGAGGTGAGGGGTGAGAATTTGGGATCTGGGAATAAGAAGTGGGGCTGTGGTCCTGGGGTGAAAGTCAGAGAGGAGAGCCACCAGGGTGTGGTGCCACCTGGGTGTCCCCCTTTCCCTGTCTGGCCACCCCTTCTCTAGCCAGGAATAGGGGGAGCAGAGCCAGGAGATTGGGGGCCACAGCCCGAGCCTGCATCCAGGTGCTTGGGGGTGGCGGTGCTTATTTCTGGGTGTTTGAGGGCTGGGACGGAGGCATGGCCGAGGATCTCTGTTTAGAAGGTGCTGAGAGTTGCTCCCAGGACAGACACCCAAGGGGAAGTCTTTCTTCTGCCCAGCCCTTCCGTCCCTTGGCACTGGGCTGGCCCCAGGCCGCCTGTACATAAAGAAACCTGTGGGGGTGGCCTGGGCGGCCGGAGATTCCAGGCTGGGGGCCGTGCCCATTGCAGGGAAGGCTGCTGCAGAAACCGGTGTCTCTAAGGCCCTTCCCGACCCCCTCCTGTCCCCCTGCTAAGGCCATGCTGTTCTTTGCCTTCACAGGGACCCTGGCCAGGGGGAGGGCAGGAGGAGAGGGTGTGGAGCCCCACAGGCTGCAAGGATGAGCTGGAGAGACCAGGTTCTCCTGCTCTAGGAACTGGAGGAGGCACTTCCCTGGGCAGTGCCTGTGGGAGGGCTGGGGTCTGGTGAGTAATGGTGTATGGGTAGCATCTAGATAGGAACCACCCAATAGAAAGATGTTGGGAAAACCTGGAAAGCCATACTGGACACATGGATTGTTTGGGGGTTGGAGGGACAGGGATGGTGCTTTGTCTGAGCAGAGACTCTGTGTGTGTGTGTGTGTGTGTTCTAGGTCTATGACCCAGTGTGTTTCTGTGAATAGGAGTGTCTGTGCCTGTAACTGGGTGATCACGGATGTGAACTTGTGTGAGATATGCCTGGGGGATCCACGGCCCGTGACAGGGTGTGCTGCTGTGTCTGCATACAAGTGCCAGCAAGTGGCTGATTCTATGATATGTGTGGGGTGTGTGTGTGTCAGAGGGAGAGAGAGAAAGTCTAGAAGTATCTATGCCCATGTGAAGGTCAGCACCTGTGTCTGCTTATGACACTGCATGACTGTGATCATGACTGGGCATGTGAGTGTTGTGTGCGTGTGTGTGTGCATGTGTGCGCATGCCTTCATGACAGTGTAAGGGGAAAGCCCCACAGATGTCTTTGTGCATGGATATTGGTGCTCACGGCCATGGCCTGATGGTGCTTGAAAATATGAATGTGAGGGTTGTGTCTGGGTCTGCCTATGACCCTGTGTTCGCGTGCCCCGGACCATAGCTGGCCTGTGGCTATGGACATGTTTGCACACATATGACCTATGGGTGTGAGTGACATCCTGAGATTGGGTGCTTGGTGGGCATTCATGGTCCTGGTGGGACAGTTCAGTGGGAGACAAAGGTCTAACAAGGAAGCTGCAAGGGGCATGGCTGACCTGGGATCTGGGCTGGGCAGTGTGGGGTGTCGGGGGGCAGAGCCTCCCTCGCCACAAGCTGATCCTGTCTGCCTGAGGACTGTGGTCAGCAGCCTTCCCCTCTTAGGCCGACTGTCTTTGGTGTTGGAGCTGGGATAGGGGGTGAGTCACCTTCTCAGGGTTGGGGCCAAGGCCAGGGCCCGGGCTGTGACAGGGACAGTAGAGCGGATGGGCCTCAGATTCCTGTTCCCACTCTGCCCCCAGGCTTCAGATTCCAGGCCTTTTAGCATCTCAGCTCATTATGGCTGTCCCTACCCAGCTCCCACATTCCCCAGGAGAGATTTACAGGGGAAACCATTTAGCTGGGCTTCCTACCTGTGCTACCTCGCAGAAGGCACCCCGAGTCCCTACATCCTGTATGGCAGGCCTCAGCCCCGAGAGATGGTAGACCGGAAGGGAGAGCTGCGAGGGCCTCAGACAGAGAGGGCTCTGGAAGATGATGGGTTCCAGGGCCCTGCAGCCAAATAGTGGCAGAGCTGGGACAGGAAGAGGTGACAGCAAGCACTGGTTTCTATAATTCTTCTTGTCAGTCGCAGTGAATGCCTGCCTGGTGGAGGAACTTGTCTTTCTTCTCCTTCTTGGGGGAAAATGAACTATCTTATTAGGGCCCGGCCTAGTGCCTACTACATTCCAGAGGCAGAGGCCCTGATGGAGGGGTTCTGCGCTAGGGGTTGGGAGGGCACCTCACTTCTGTGTGACCCACCTCTCTGAGCCTGTTTCCCCCCACCCTTTCACCCAGCGATCACCAGCCTGTGCTGCCCCACAGATGGGGTGGGGGTGGAAAGCGTCCTGCAGGAGTCAAGGGCAGTGAGCTGGGAAATACACCTGGATTCTCTTTCCACCATCCTGAGATCCATTACCCCACTCAAGCGCTTGCCCTAAGCCCTGCCTCAGTTTCCCCATCTGTCAGGTGTCCCTCTGCCTGCCCTCCCCTCCCCCCGACTCCCACCTCCACCCGCCTTTCAGAGGCTTGTGAACATGTTCAGTCAAACCCCATGGGGGTCAGTGGGCTGGGCCCAGGGAGGCACCTGGAGACTGCGGGGGAGGAAGGCCCCCGGGCCAGGTGTTAACACTTGTAACAGGCAGGAATTACAGCTGGCTGGGGCTGGGGCTGGCGAGGAGCTGAGCTGGCTGGAGGCTGTTGATCTCACAGACAGACAGACAGACAGATGAGCAGATACCAGATCGAATGGCCAGGCTTTAAGCGGGTGGTCTCCCTTCCAGGGCAGGCCTTTCCCCGGGGGGGATGTGGCAGGGGAATTAATCCAGGTCTCTTGGAAGTGAATGAACAGCCCTCCTGACCACCCCACACCCACTGTGGGCGGAGCTTGGTGTCCAAAGGATGTAAACGTGGTGGCTGATTTGTTTGTATTCTTCTGATGGGACCACATTTTGCTTAAAAAACAAAACAAAAAAACACACAAAAAAACAAAAACGAAACAGGTCAAATGTTGTAATAATACCAGGAGCATGGTGCTGAGTTATGTCCTAGAAGATCCTGCTTTAACGTGGGGAAGGCATGGGGGAAGGGGCAGCTGTCAGGGAAAGTTCTAGAATTTCGTAGCATTTGGTCAGCAGCTCTGGGGCTAAGAGGTGAGCCATGGATGGAATCTGGTCCTGACATCCCCACCCCCCCGCCCCAGGGATCCTGAGGACCTTGGGTGTGGGGCACCTGCCCAATGGGAAGACCTTTGTGGGAAAGGTCAAAAGAGGCAGGAGCTAGACCACGGTGCCCAGTCCTCCCGCGGGCACTCTCTCCTCCTTCCCTGCAGTTTCCCCAGTGGCAAACCCAGCAGAGCCCGCTGGCACCCACATTCTCTGGCAGCTGGGTGCACGCTCAGTCACTGGTGAAGATAGAAAGGGCCCTCGGTGGAAATCCCCAGTGAATAGACTCAGCCAAGCAAGTATCTCCCATTCCAGAGCGAAATGCTGATACACCTGAAGGGCGCTTGGGCGGCTGTAGAATTGAAAAGGCGACATGGGCACAGGGGAGGGAGGGAGGGAGGGAGGGAAGGGAGCTATGACCCCGGGGGCTTTCTCTAGACTTTCAATAGGTCCCTCCTTGGTCTGGGCAAAAGGCAAGGAGACAGGCTGGGGAAGGAGAGGTGACGCTTTCCAAGGAGAAGGCAGCCACAGATCCTTCTGAGGAGAGTGGGGAAAGGAAGGTCTTTCTGGCCTCAGCATGGGGTGAGCCGTGCATTGAGGGGGGCCTGGTCTTCCAATCTTTTCTGCTGTGAGCCGCAGAATCCTTCTAAAGCCACCACGGAGGGACAGACACTCTCTACCCCTTGTCCCTGGTTCGGGGAGGAGGTGTGTCCCCTTCAAAGGTTAAGGCCATCCGGATACTCCATCCATACGGTTCTCCTTAGCGTGTGTGCCAGGAAGTGCTGACGGCCGGGAGTCTGCGTTCTGAGC